GAAATACTTTCCCTGAAGAGACTTCCTGTGAATCTAAAGCCATAACCTTTACCTTCATGATACTGATGTGTAGAATCCATAATAATATAGAAATACCACGAGTCTTGACACCCTCCAATGCAAACCTCATTTTCTAGCCAAATATACAACTTAAAAATCTCCAATTATTACATGTAAAATCTTGAACCCATTAGAACCATTCTCGAGAGTCATCCACTCTACTCAAACCGCAATTAAACCGATCAAACGGACCGACGACCTGTGATCCATTAGCACTCTGACGCTGCAGAATGTAACCTCACCTTAATGCAACCAAGCAACTTCCTATTCTATGCACCATACATCCTTTACCAATAACAACTCAAGTCATTCCGTGATTCTCATACACCCATAAAGCATAACATAACCTGTATTGAAATTTCTTTTACTCGAGCCCTCCTCGGTCTCAACCTCCATAAGCCATAACTGATTCACCAGTACGCCTCAAACTGGAACCAACATAGCACATAATCGTGCAATCAACTAATCACTAGCAGACTCCTCCACTTGGCTCAAAGCCATAGATAAAAACACACAATAACTCATAATATATATACTCTATCACTGCCATAATACTATAGTGAGATTAAACTCTATACTTCATAAGCTCGTGCAACACAGACCATCTAGTACTTCAAATATTCTGCAAATCTCGCATTCACCCTCGCAACAGTCAAGCCCACTCTCCTAAGCGATCAAAATTCAAATTGCATACATATATTTTACTGGTAAAAGAGATATTCCAACAAACAACGTAAGGCTCACACAAACTTCAAAACACTCCAAAGGAGGTAACCCACCTACTTTGCCTCAAACTAATAGCTCTGCATACCCTTACACTGTCATATACATTACGCAATCACTTAGCCCTCATGAGTTTGAACTCACATTATAACATGAAATCTACTCCACTCCCTAACTAAACAACATGAAAAGATTCTTCACACACCCATTACTCGGGGCTATACATCAAGTCAAGATGGAAATCAAGCACTAAATAGTTTTTCTATCCTCAAGCAGACCCTTCTCGTCGCTCCAAAATCATATGAATACATATCGTAGTCACATCATACACATCACATAGTCAACCAGCCATCACTTCCACTAATAGGGACACCACCCAACATATAAATTCAAAAAGTACGTGCTCACACAATTAACACCTCAATGCTCAAGCTACAAGAAAAACCCGACCTCAAGTCCTCCAGACTGGTCCAACATCAACGCACAGAAATCACATCTCGCCCCTCGATCAGGGAATCACAAGCCATCAATGCACAACTGATACCGAGCGCTTATGCTCGCATACAAACACGTGGAAGGAATTCAAAGAGCTACATTTCAAGCTAAATCAAGGACGCACGATAAGAATTCAAGAATGTGAAGTTTTTTTAAAAGGTTCTGCAGCCTCCCGAGTATAAGTACAGACGTCTCCGTATCGATCCGTGAGACTCTACTAAACTTGCTCATGACTCGTGAGACCTATGTAACCTAGGCTCTGATATCAACTTGTCACAATCCTAAAACTGACCCGATCGTGATGGCATCTATCGTGAAACTAGGCCAGCCGACACAACTTCCGAATCAACCATCAATCAATAAATGTCATTTTTTAAGTCTTTAATTAATCAAATATTTCATAATAAAAGTCCAAATGAACAATGCGGAATAAATACCCAAGCCCGATATTGGGGTGTCACAAGTTACGAGCATCTACTAAGGTCTGAAAATATACCAAAACAATCTAAGGAATACAAGAGGGAGAAGAGCAGGGCTGCGAATGTGGGATAGCTACCTTGCTAACTCCGGTGACTTTGCCACTGAGCAATCAATACCTGCTACCAGGTTCAAAAATACCTGAATCTGCACACAATGTGCAGGGAGTAATGTGAGTACGGCAACTCAGTAAGTAATTAAAGTAAATGAAAGCTGAGCAGTAAGAAAACATGTAAACCACGTCAAAATGCTACAACAAATGCAGGACATTTCCAACATAGCACAAAAAAATCATTTACTTTGTAAATCATGCTCAATTTCGGTAAAACCTTTTAAAATAACTTTCAATAGTTTCAAACGAGTGATAAAACAGTAAGTAAAAATGATAGAAAGTAAACAGCCCCTCGGGCAAAATATGTACCATAATCTTCCCCTCGGGCATAATATCAACAGAACAGCCCCTCAGGCTACCTCACAATCACTCGTAATCAGCCCTTCGGGCATAACATGAATCAAGAACCGCCCCTCGGGCAAACATGGATCAAGAACAGCCCCTCGGGCATCAATATGAAATAACAACAGCCCCTCGGGCTACAACATATCACTCACACTGGGTACCCGCGCTCACTGGGGGTGTACAGACTCCGGGAGGGGCTCCTTACAGCCCAAGTGCAATAACAAGTCATCTCGTGGCATAATCAAACAGGCACTCGGCCTCATAACAACAAGCCACCTCGTGGCATAAATCAATCAGGCCCTCAGCCTAACAATATCATGAATCAATAACAATCTGATGCGGCGTGCAGCATGATCCCATAATATCCTCACAACACAGGCCCTCGGCCTCACTTAGTCAGAAACCTCTCAAGCCACCCGGGCAGTAGTAAAACATGATGTTCAGCCCAAAATATCATTTAAAATATCAAAAACGAGTAAATATGGTTGAGTTATGAAAATAATAGAATATAGCATGACTGAGTGCAAATATGAAGTCAAAACAGTGAGGAATAGTAGTAAAAACCCCCTTAGGGTCCAAAACAATTGGCACTAAGCCCAAATATGACATTCAACCCAAAACATGGTAATAATTTCCAAAACACAATGATGACAACCAGTTTTCAATCAAATACACGACTTGACAGTCATACGGGACGGACTAAGTCACAATCCCCAATGGTGCACTACCCCATGCTTGTCATCTAGCATGTACGTCACCTCAAAATAGCACAATGATGTGAAATCCGAGGTTTCATACCCTCATGACAAACATTTACAATCATTACTTACCTCTATGGGATCCAAACTCTAGCCCGCGATGTCTTTGCCCCTCGAATCGGCCTCCGGATGCTCCAAATCTATCCAAAAATAGATTTACATCATCAAAATATGCTAAGGGAATAAAGCTCACTCGAAAATAATCAATTCACACCAAGAATCCCGAAATTGGCCAAACCCGACCCTCGGGCCCAGGTCTCGGAATTCGATAAAAACCATAAAACTAGAATCCTTATTCCCGCACGAGTCTACCCATATCAAATTCATCAAAATTCAATCTCAATTGCCCATTCAAATCCCCAAAGAATTCTCAAACTTTTCTTCCATTTTTTCCAATTTTCACTGTAATTTCTTAAATTAAATGATGAAATTCAAGATTAAATCATAGAATTAAACCAAATATGGGTGAAGAATACTTACCCCAATTGCTCCACTGAAGATCTCCTCAAATTTCACCTTCTCCCGAGCTCTCCAATGGTTTTTGTGATATTGGACTTAAACCCTCAATTTTAAAATATAAACTGACTGCCCAGATATTTTCTTTATCGCGAACGCGGCAGCACCCTCACATTCACGAAGCACATAGCTTCTTTGACCAAAATTCTCTCCTTCACGAACGCGAGGGCCCACCCGTGAACGCAATGACCACACAACTCGACCCTACGCGAACGCGATCCCCTGGTCGCGAACGTGTAGCTTGATCTCCAGAACCTTCGCGAATGTGAAGAACAAATCTGCAGCCTCACTTAACAACCCTTCGCGAACGCGAAGAAGGGTTTTCTGCAACAAAAAGACCAGCAAATCTGCCAAGTCCAAATTCCAAAAATTGATCCGTTAACCACCCGAAACACACCCGAGGTCCTCGGGACCTCAACCAAACATGCCAACATATCCCCTATCATTATTCAAACTCTTTCCAACCTTCGGAATGCTTAAAAAACATTAAAAATATCAAATCACCCTCGGATTCAAGCCTAAGAAATTCCAAAACATTGAAAATTCTGGTTTCGATCAAAAAGTCTATCAAACCTCGTCCGAATGACCTGAAAGTTTGCACACACGTCAAAAATGACACAACAGACCTACTCCAATTTTCGGAATTCCATTCTGACCCCGATATCAAAATTCTCACTATCAACCGGAAAATGCCATATTTTTTATTTTCGCCAATTCAAGTCTAAATCTTCCACGGACCTCCAAAATACATTCCGATCACACTCCTATGTCCCAAATCGCCTAACGGAGCTAACCAAATCATAAAAATTCCAATCCGACATCATATACTAACAAGTCAAAACTTGGTCAAATCTTTCAAATTTTAAGCTTCAAACTGAAAACTGTTCTTCCAAATTCATTCCGATTATCCTAAAAATCAAAACCGACGATTTACATAAGTCATAATACATCACACGGGGCTAGTCATGCTCGAGAACTGTCGAGCGAAATGCAAAAGCTCAAAACGACCGGCGGCTCGTTACAGCAACGACAAAATTTGTCACTTTATGTAACGACCGATTTGGTGTGGTCGCGTCGTTACCTTAACTTTTTCTCTCATCTGGCCCTTCATTATTATTAAATAATTTTTGTTTATCCTTTACCATACCTTTTTATATAATAATTCTAATCCCTTATCATAATTTTTATTTATAATATTGCAAGTTTATTCTTCATATTGCCGGTGGTTATATTATGAAATGACGATAAACTATACATTCTATCCAAATATTATATTCATCAAACGATACAGTACAATACAATACGATACATTATGAAACGATACGTAACCACCATCCAAACAAGGTGTTAAATTTAAGCCACTGATAGAAAATAAAAGTTTAATTATCTACCTCTACTACTGGTAACATTAAGACAGACACACCATCCCCGGCACCGGGAGAATTAAATGGAAAGAGGTAACAGTAGGTGCACCCTTACCAAAACATACAGGCCTTAATTAAGGTAGAGAAAAAGGGACCCCCACCACCCCTCTTGGCACCGCATTTCTCTAGCTGTATTCCCAATCACATATTCCTCTGCATTTCGCATTAGCCACTTCTTTTGCTTAGTAAACCATATTTCTTGAATATACCATGGCGTCTCCAAAAATATTCCTGCTTTACTTCGTTGTCATCTTTTTCACAATCAGCAAGATTGCAATTATAATCGAAGCAGAAGAGGACGAACACGGGTTAGATGTGGTAAATGAGGATTTTGAGTTGCCAATGTCCATGTCTTTATATGAAGGCGAAAACCGGAGATCCCTGTTCTGGCACAAGACTTTCAAGTACTACATTTCGTATGGGGCGTTGTCTGCTAACAGAATACCTTGCCCGCCGCGCTCTGGTAGGTCATACTACACTCACCACTGCTTTAGTGCTCATGGTCCAGCTCACCCTTACACTAGAGGTTGCTCTGCTATCACTCGTTGTCGTAGATGAACATTTCCTTACCATCTTGTGATCCCTGTCCATTTCTAAAATTGAGTGGATTAATTTCTTGATGGTTTCTTTTTTAGTTTATTTAAATGTATGTGTTGGTTTTTAGTTAGTGTGTGCGCTCTGCTGCTTGTCGAGTTATCTTTATTTTAGGCATTGTTTTCAGTGTACGCTGCATTGTGACATAATGTGTTTATTTGTGTGTTTAGCTAGCCAGATCAATCGAGGGTAATAACTTTTTTTAGCAAGCTATGAAGCTGTCGCAGCAAATTAAAGTTGTCTTCTGCATGAATACAAAGCATTTTTGGTGGGTTGGTACTGATCTCCCTGTTTATATATATAGCATATCCTGCCAAGCCATTTAAAATGTAATTGCGGATAACTTTGTAACATGATATACCAGGTCAAATTACTGATTGTGTAAAAAGTTAATTACGTTAGCTGTAAGTGTATATAACTTGAATCCATAACTAATTTTGATACTGGTGTCTGGTTTACTCCAGTCAAAGTAGAGAAAGTAGAAGAAAGAGTAATTATAAGTGTTTGTTGGCAAACTTCAGAATTGCACCTCTACCGAACCACCAGAACTGCATTTAACACCTGCGCGGCTCTATATTCATTACAAGCCTACTTACACATTATGATGCAAATTTCAATCTCCCAACTACTTCCATCTTTATAGGAGTATCTCATAAGTCATAACACACCGTTCAAACTTAAAGCGTTCCACTTAATTCTTGCCAATTGTCTTTATTCTTGCTCTTGTATATTTATTTATAACAAAAGCAACAAGTAGGAAATTATGTTAATAGATTTTTGTTAAAGCAGTTGCATAAAACAAGAAAATATGCATAAAATATATTTCCAAGGACTCCCGGGGAAGACTGAAGAATTATAATGCAGTAGTTTATGGCAAAATAAGGCCGCGGAAGGACCTCCAAAATTGGGCTCACCAAAAAAGCGCTTAAATGGATTGAATGGAGTTTGTACCCATTGTTAAGGTAGAAATCACTCTAAAAGGCTGCTATTAGTCGATGTGTCTTGAATTTCAGTTTTTGAGTTTATTTTTTCAGGACACAAATATTCTAAATTGTCCAGAAATTAAGATTTTAGGACAAAATAAGTACAACAGCCCTAACAAATTGTTGTTTGTGTACTTCCCCCATTGTTAAGACCTACAATTACCAGGGCATTTCTCCCATTTATTTATTGGAAAATTTCTCTTATGGGAAAATTTTCATAATTACCGATGAAATCAAAAAATATTTCACAACCTACAACTATTAATTAAATAACATATTCTACAACATAAACATGGTAAATGTATAAAAGTTATACCCTCAAATACGGTGGATTTTTTATATATTAGGAAACTGATTCTGAAAATATCCCTTAATACTGCAATCTCCAACTAAAAACAACCACCCAAAATAAGAGAGTATCCTTGTTTTGGGTAACAGAAAAGAAAACAATATAAAATGCAATCAATTGTTTCCTAAACAATCTCCTTTTCCGTTGCTGCCTTTTCAAGCTATAATACCACTTATATACAATTCAACTCCAACATCTCCTTCTCCATCAATTGATAGGGTATATTTTCTTTTTTCTTTTTATTCTTAAAAGTGTAACTTTCAGTCATTTAATGCAAAAGTGTGGTATTAATGGCATATTGGCTTTGACCAAACTTCCCTTTTTTAACAAAAAAAGTTTCTCTCATTTTTTCTCTTTGTAAATACCTTAGCTATGAGTAAATATTACCTCAAATATATATACACACACAAAAATATAGTAGCATTTATATACCTTTATATATTTGAAATAAAACATACTATTTATATTGTGTACTTTTAGTAAACTTAATATATGTCATCAATATATGTTTTACATTTAAAGTAATATATCACATAATCGATCTACATGTGTGGTATACATAATATATATCTTTTGTATTAGCACTAATATATAACATTTTATTCATTATATTCTTATATGAAATATATATTATTAGTATACTAGATTTATAATATATATTTATATTTTATTAGTATACGATATCTATAGTATATATTATATTATATGCATCTAATATACTATACATAAATATGGTGGTAAAGTAAAATCATTCATTGAAAGACAAAACGATGTTATAACGAAAAGGAGATGGAGAGTTGAAGAATAAATTTATATGCACTCCTTCGCTAGTGAACTTAAATGATTGTAACCTAGGGAAATTAAGTCCTAGAATTTTTATTCCATGGCTAGGTAAGACCATGAAAACAGTTGAAACCACTATATGAAGAAAATAGAAAAAAGAGATTTTTACCTTCATATACTATGTATGAAATTTTATTGTCCTCCCTAATTAAGTTTTAACTTAATTACATTCGCATATACAATTTACCAATAATATATAAATTAGTATTAATGTCCCTTTATATAAAAACTGATCAGGGAATCAGTTATTTCTCATCCTTGATCTCTCTCGCTCCCTCTCTCTTTCTCTCTCTCTCTCTCTCTCTCTTTCTCTCCTCCTCTGTTCTTTTCCTAATTTTTCTTCCTTCATTTTTCTATGCTTTTTATCCTCTCTTTTTTCAGGGAATTCATCAATGAATATCAACTGTTTTAATATAGAGTTTTAACTTAACAATTTCCTTTCATGTTTTACAATTGGTGTTCGAATTGAAATTATCAATAAATAAATTTTGAATGTATTTTGACTTTTGATTCTCCATCATTGACAGCCATTAAAAAGTTTCAAAGCTTTGAATTCGAATTTGGGATTTTAAAAATTATTGTTTGTTTGGATTAGGTGTTGTTGCAAACAATAGGGAATATTGTTTGGAGTTTGTATCTAAAATTTGAGAGTGATTGGTGAAGATTAGACTTGATTTTGATTGAATTGCAGATTGAAACTCGAAGAATTAGAAGAAGAACAAATGACATATAATATACTTACGAAATTGTATTAAAGTAGTATGTAAATTGTATTTAAGTTGTATTCTATTGTAATTATATATATTTTTAATTGAATGTTGTGTGAAAGTTGAAAAATAGTTGTATAATGTATGAATTGTTATGAAACAATAAAAGAAGAAGAGTATTGCAGAGAAAAGTAGAGAGAAGAGAATTCTTATTGATATGGGATGAATTACAATGGAATAGAACCCTCTATTTATAGGGAGAGAGTGACTTAGCCACCAAGTAATAAACCCTAGAATCTCTCTAAATATAGACATTCACCATAAATAGAATTCTATTTATAATACTCCCCATTGAATGTCTATTCAACAGATAATGTGCCTCGTTAAAACCTTAACTAAATAAAACCCAATGGGAAAAAAATTGTAGAAAAGGAAAAAGAGTACACATATCTAACAATACGCTTTTTGGTTGCCTCGTTAAAAACCTTGCAAGGAAAACCCAGTGGGACAAAACCTTGTAAGGAAAAAAGAGTGCAACGCGCATTAACTCCCCCTGATGAGAGCATCAATTCACATCTTTAAGCATTTGCATTCCAATCTTGTGCACCATCTTCAAAATGATCTTTGGTAGAGACTTGATAAACAAATCAACCATATTAACTTGAATGAATATATTGCATCTTGAAATCATCATTCTTGATACATATATAATGTCTTCATAAATATCGTGGAATGGCTCTTCAATATCTCCATAGAGGTATTCTCGCTATCACATTATCATGCTTATAGTTATAGCAAGATACATATGTGCACAAATTGCACTTAGGATGTGGTACTTCAAGACCAAGAATTGTATATGCTTTAAGCGATTTAAATCCTTCATGGATTGTCATATAAGTTAAGTCATATAAGCCATCTAAAGAGACTTTAGATGTATATCAAGTTTTCATGTCATGCTAGACATATAAGATATCGGAAACTGATTGCACATACCATTGACTTTATACTTTCAAGTATTTGAACAACATAGACAAAATTATATGTCTTTCATATGAAATCAATTCTACTTGAATTATGTCTCTTCCATTTGGCCAATACTTTTGTGTCTATATTCGATAGACTTAAAATCCTCATATATACTTAGCGCTATGATAGATGTCGTCGACGAACATTTTATATCGGTTTCAGCTTTATTTTCATAAAGACGTGACATAGAGATCTCTTCATTCATATTTTCAGGTACCTGAATCTCTCCTGAGATTTTATGAAGTGTTATGTCATGTGATCTTCTAGATCACTTGCCTCCTTTATTATGATCATTTTGATCATTTGCTCATCTTCTTTATTAAGAAGTTTATTTGAAACTGATTTGTCTATACATTTTAAGCGTACCATAGACTTTGTCCTTATAAGACTTAATATGAGCATTTGCAATGAAAATATAGTTACTTTCTTTGGGTCAGCAAATGCGTATGACATGCTTTGAAATATATTGCAAACGAATTATCTTTTTTATGAACTTCAAGTTCATATTATGATATTCGAGGATCTATATATACAAATGATAATCCGTTCCATGTAACTTTTTCTCAAGTGTTTATTATGTCTGCCCCTCATGTTAGAAAAACTAACTTGTTTCCTCAACTTTGAGAGACCATCTTAGTGTGTCATGGTGCTAATCAAAATATACACCGCACATCAATAATAATAAGATGGAATTATTTGGTTCCTGACCCCGAACCACTTGTGAGGGGAGAATGTAATATACAAACTGATATAGGTAACTTTGTTCTCATAAACAATAGTTTAGCTATTAAGTGTAAGCACTCAATAAATTATTTTGCTAAACCAACTGTGATGTAAACCAACTTATCAAGATAAACTTTCTTGAGTAGAAAATCTGGAAATTATGCTCGAAATTAAATTATTGAGCAAGTTACCTCGCAAAACATCATATTGCGGGTTAATAATAATCGCACATGTGACCATCTCATAGATGCATCTTATGTGGTATACATGGCAAGTCAATGGGCTCATTTGAATTCTCTTTTATTTTTGCACATCATACTTAAATTGATATGACTAAACCAGCTATGCCAACTGGATATCAATAAACTCCAAGTTTATTATGATATGCGTTTTATACCAATAAAGTTCTACTTTATTGTGGCATTCTTTTATTTGTGTAGTATAAACTGGAGAATAAAACAGGTAACTTTTCACATAAAATATTATCCCGCTACAAGTTGTAGTAATAGAAGATATTAAATCTTCCTTTATTTATAATCTCAATATAACCAACCGCTTTCGCGAATACTTTAGAAACTGAATAAGTTTCTTTGAGACTTACTACAACACAATACCTTATTGGTAATCAATTGTGTTTCTCCAAAATAGTATA